GGGAGGAGGTGTGCAGTGGGAACTTGAGGAATAGTTGGAGGGAGAATGGCAGAACGTGGGAGGCGGAGCAACAATCATGCCGTGTTGATCGGACTGACAACATTCAAACTCATTCCGAGTCGCCTGTCAGGGCGCGTTCGAAGTTTTCATGGAGAAGACACGAGATTCATGACGTACCGAACGAGTAAAGGCGTTCAGGCACTCGACAGTACATTGAATATGCATACTCAGTTGCGATGCCGCGCACCATGTGATTTTGGGAAGCAGCCAAACAATGCTGTCGCGTGGCCTGGTTGTAGCATCGCATGTTTGTCATGTTGTCTCGCGGGGCCCTTGTGTTAGGGAAGGGCGAAGGAGGAGGTGGCAGAGGAGGGGCCAATATGGAAAATAGGCGCTGTTTCTCTGGATCCCTTGCTCCCGTCGGAACGGAGACACCGCTCAGAGCAGGATGGGGTGCTGAGAGTGGGTAGTGCTGAGAGAATCGGAGAGAGGCCCCATGAAGCAGTAATCAGGGAACCCACGGGAAGCGCCCAGAGGGGCGTGGATGGGAAGGGACCCAACGGGCTGCTGGTTCGCCTCACCGGGCTCGTGACGCTGGACCTTGCAATGAAGGACCACACCGCTCAGCATTGCCTCGTGCGACATCCCATCCTCTGGGTCTGGCTTCTCCCCCCCCCTCCTCATGTCCGGATGCCTCCTTGCCGTGTCCTCTTTCACTCCCCTCTCTTCTTCTCCGCTCTATGAACCCTTTCCTTCCTCCGTCGTGTTTTTGCTCCGTTAACACACATGGGCATCTTCGACTTGTTGGGCTTGAGCGAATTTCTTGTGTGAGTATCTTCGGCATCCCCGTGGATTGTTGCGTCGCCAGTCCACAGGTCGAGATTTCGCGTGCGGGCTCGACTATTTGCAGGTCTGTCCTCTCGTGGCTCCGGGCTTGCCTGGTGCACTTCTTGAGCACCATCGTTCATCGGGGTGTGCGATCGTGACGACGAGAAGGATGGGCCTGTTTTCCACCACCACCACCACCATAAGTTGGAGGGGGAGGGGTCCCCCTCCACCTCCACCTCCTCCTCTTCCTCCTTCTTTCCTCCTCGGGCTCCACCTCCTCCCCCCCCAACTTCTGATGGTGATGGTGGAAAACAGGTCCATCAGAAAAGTCGACCAAGAAAGGCCGCCAATGGCTGGAAACGACGCTCTCATGCGAAGGTTGGGTTGAACCTCGATCAGCAGCCGTCTGTTTACTCATGACGCCTGCACGTCGGCGTGGGCCACGCGCTCGCCTGAGCGCCTCCGCCGTTTGAGTGTCGCCTCCCGGGACTCTCTCGAGGCGGGATAGCCTGGGCTCCGGCGGGCTCGCGTCGCGTCGACGCGGCGGCGGCCCCGCCGCGAGCGTTCCAACCGGAACGCCAGCGGCGGCCCAGAATCGGCCAATATGGAGCGGTTTTGGCTGTCGAGATACCGCCTGCTTTCAAAGGTTGAACGACCCAAGCGGTGTCGGAAACCAACGCTAGGGTCGTCACGACGCGAGCCATCGCGAACCTGCCGCAGGGAGTTGCGCGTAGCCTTGCGCTTTCGTATTGCCATCAGTTCGACACGTCTGAAGCCGAAAACGCGCACTTGTCCGCCATACCCACAAATAGCAACGGTGGAAGGGGTGATCATAATCATTGTGGAGATGGATGTCTGTGTACTAGCTCTACTTTGGGCACGTCACAGACCCTCTTGTAGCTCTGTGTCTTGAACTGGATGGAGAAGCCACCGCAGCAGGGTGCGTTTTGCCACTCGTGCTCTTGCCAGGAGACGGTCATCGAAGAGGTACCCGTTCACGAGCTCGCCACCATCTGGCTGCCCTTCCTGATCCTGGCGCTGGCCCTCCGCAGCGCCCGAATGCTCCTCCTGGTGCCGTGGCAGGGGTCAGAACATCGATGGGCTCCTCCTCCTCCTCCTCCTCCTCCTCCTCCTCCTCCTCCCCTCCTCCTCCTCCCTCCTCCTCCTTCCTCCTCCTCCTCCTCCTCCCTCCTCCTCCTCCTCCTCCTCCTCCCTCCTCTCCTCCTCTCCTCCTCTCTCCTCCTCCTCCTCCTCCTCCCCCCCTCCTCTTTCTCTTCGACCTCGCCCAGCTCCCCTTTCCCGCCTCTCCCCTTCCTCCTGCTTGCTTCGAGGGCCCAGCCTCCTTGCCCCCCTCACCTCCCTTCCCTGGGGACCGGGGAGCGCCCTCCCCCCCCGCTCGGGAGCGAAAGAAGGACGAAGACGTGCACGAATCCACGCTGGCTTCGAACGTGCGCACTGCACGAACGCTCGCAACGCGAGGCTGCCCTCGCGGACTCGGGGGGGGGCCGCATTCGTTCGTGTATGTGGGCTCCCCACCGGCCCGCCCGCGCGCTGACGCCGCAGAGGCGGGCCCCAGTGGACGACCGGGGGGGCAGACCCCGGGGTCCGGGTGGCCCGCCACCCCGCGGGGGGGGGCAACGAAGGCGGCGTGGGATCGGCGTCACCCCAGCAGGGGCGACGCGCGCGCCGAGGAGTCTTCCAGTGCACGCTCCGTGGCGGGCGCTTTCTGTCCATACCGCTCGAGAAACGATCTACTGCGAGATGGTCATACCAGATGCTCGTTGGGTCGGGCGCACGCCTCCGAGGAGGACGCACACGTAGTGAGTCCTTGTGCGTCCCATGGGAGCTGACCGAGGGCGAGGGCGGCGACATGCTGTCGGCCCCTGGTGTTCCACAGTTTTAGGTCGGTGGCGAAGTGTGCGTTTCTCCTTGATTTGGTGATCACCCTTGACTGAGTCCAGCTGCCAGAGGCAAACCCCATCCACCCCGCCAGCGCAGCGCAGCGTGAAGGAGGTGAGTTAAAGCCGCATGTTGGAGCTTCTCTGTGGCCTTGTGAGGGCATCTCGGAAGCATTTTAGGTCCGTTCGGGAGGTCCTTGTTGGATGGTCTGTATGGGGGACTTGGGGGTCTCTTGGGGCCTCTCGGAGGCGTCTTGGGAGCTTCTTGGGGGCCTCTCGGGGGCATATGTCTGTTCTTGGAGGCAATTCTGTAGGAAAAGGCTGTCAAGCCCAGTTCGACTTCCCCCTCTTTGGCCCTTTTTGGAGCCTTCTTGGAGGGCTGTCTTGGGTGCATCTTGGGACCCCATTGGGCGGGATTGAGGGCCTCGTGGGCCGTCATGTAGCCCACTGGGCTGTCCTGGGCCCCCTTCGGGACCCTGTTGGGCTATCTTGGGGCCCTCTTGGGGACGTTTTGGGCAGTCTTGGGCTTTCGGAAACCATCAATGGCTAGCATTGCGAAGGCCTTACGGCAGGTGCCGCCGACCCTGAAGACGATGAAGATGAAAACGAGCGGGAGGGGGGTAGGAGGCGGAGGAGGAGGAGGGGGAGGAGGAGGAGGAGGTGGAGGAGGAGGAGGAGGAGGGAGGAGGAGGAGGAGGAGGAGGAGGAGTGAGGAGGAGGAGTGGGGGTGAAGAGGAAGGGTGGAGGAGGCGGATGAGGGAGGACGAGGGAGGGGAGGGGAAGGACGAGGAGGAGGAGGAGGAGGAGGAAGAGGAGGAGGAGCAGGAAGAGGAGGAGGAGGCAGAGGAGGAGCAGGAGGAGGGGGAGTAGTACTTTCAAATCTAGCCCTCTCGAGCCATCCTGTGGACCGTCTTGAGGCCATCTTGGGTCATCTTGGGGCCCTCTTGGAGCTCTCGGATGCCTTATTGGGCAGTCTTGGAACAGCCTTGGAAGCCCTTTTGCAGTCCTGGGGCGAGCTTGGCTGATGAGGCGGTTTTGATGTTTTGGCTGTCCTGGGGAGTTTGCTGTGATGTTCGTGTTTTGCTTTCCTGTTTTTGATTTTGTTGGTTGGTTGACCCCACAGAACAATTGAAAGTTGCTCGTGGCAGATCCGTAAAGGAGTGTTGCACGGCAGGGGCAGTGCCTCCCAGAACTGCTGCGACAGCCGCCCCAGCTCCAGCGGCGAATACGCAGAGCTCGCTGGCATGATGCCGCCGTGTGGGCCCCAAACGGTGTTTCGTTGCACTCTGCGGACTGCACTCTTCCGGGCTGCAGCCCGTGCGATGCAGGCTGCGCAATGCGACGGACGGCGCCACAGACGACGGCGCCACAGGGGGCGCATAGAAAACTCACCTGGCCCCAGTGGGGCCCAGTCGGAGGGTGTTTAAGAACTCATAGAAGCCCTAACGGCGACAGGAAAGTGCGACACACAGGGGAAGAGCCAATAGAAGCCTGGGCGGCGACCAGAAGCTGCGACATTCGGCGCAGAGGAATCCACAGGACCCCAAGTACAACTTACAGGGCCACTGGGGGGTGGGGGGCAGGTAGAAACCCATAGGCACCCAAGCGGCGACCCGAACGTGCGATCTGAACACTAGCAGCAGCCTCTCAGCGCAAGCACTGCTCGGGGAACAACAGCTCCTCCGTCTGCTCCTGCTCCTGCTCCTTTATCTTGCACGGGCATCGGTGCAAGGTTTCGTGGAAAATGACGCGGCCCGGAGGGGGTCGAGGGGAAGGCAGCGGCATCACCTCCCCGCCTCCGTCCCATACCATCCCCACCCCCCCGAACTCCCACCACTTCCCTCCTCCGCGTTAGGATGCAACTTTTGGGAGGTTGCATTCGGCACCGTCCTGATTCGGCGTAATACCGCTTAATCCCACTCGATCCTGCCTAAGTCCGCCAAGCTGGGCTTAATCATGGGCTCTACCCATGCGAATTCGGCCTGATGGCCCACTCATCGGGCTAGATACCTTCGAGTCGTTCTTGCGAGGACCTCCAAGCAGTTGTCTCCCAATCCGTCCATACCCACCTTGTTTCTCAAGCGTGTGCAGACCTCAGTGCAGGCCCCGCCAGCCGCGCGCTCACGCAGCATCCCGCAGTCTTCGGCGCCTGCTCCGCGGGCGCTGATGGCGCCGACCCTCCTCTCGGCCGCGGCGCTGCTGCTCGTGGCGCCTGGGACCGCTGGCAGGGCGTACCCTGCGCTCTCGGCCGACAGCAGCCTCCTCGCCCGCTCCATGGAGCTGAGGCTGCAGGCGCGCTCCTCCTCCTCCTCCTCTTCCTCCTCCTCCTCCTCCTCCTCCTCCTCCTCCTGCTGCTCCTCCTCCTCCCTCCTCTCTCCTCCTCTCCTCCTCCTTCCTCCTCTCCTCCTCCTCCTCCTCCTCCTCCCCTCCTCCTCCCCTCCCTCCTCCTCTCTCCTCCTCCTCCCTCCTCCTCCTCTCCTCCTCCTCCTCCTCCTCCTCCTCCTCCCCTCATCCTCCCTCCTCCCTCTCCTCCTCCTCCTCCTCCCTCCTCCTCCTCTCCTCTTCCCTCCTCCCTCCTCCCCTCCTCCCCTCCTCCTTCCTCCTCCTCCTCCTCCTACCTCCTCCTCCTCCTCCTCCTCCTCCTCCTCCTGCTCCCCCTCCTCCCCGCCCTCCTCCTCCTCCTCCTCCTCCTCCTCCTCCTCCTCCTCCTCCTCCTCCTCATCCTCCTCCTGGCCTGCAGGCGCGCGCGGCGCAGAGCCCGCCCGCCGGGCTGCAGCTGCTGCGCGCGGACGCCCAGATCGCCCAGTGCTTGCAGAGGCGCCGTGCCGACCCGACGCAGATCGCGGCCACGGTGCAGGAGTCGGCTACGTTCGCAGGTCTAGAGGTGGACACCAACACCGAGGGAAGAAGACTCCGAGCTCGGTGCTGGTAGTAATATTCTGGCTTCGAGGTGACCGAACTATTACCACCAACACCGAAATCTAGGATCATCTTCGCCCTGTGGAGGCAACCCCCTGAATTGGTGTTGGTGCCCATTTTCAGGTCTCCCATACACGTGCCCATCGGTCGTTGAAAGTTGGTATTTTTGATTCCCAGATTCCAATCTACTTTTTAAGCGCCTTCCTGCTTCAACGATCGAGTGGCTTCACCTTTTACCGTCCTCTTCAGGGGTCGGGCGGACATCCAATCCACTTTCAACGCCTTCTTATTTCCTGGTTCTACCTACTTCTTCCGACCGATGGCTAAGAGTGATCCTTCGCTGGAGCGACCCTTGGTGCGGGATCATCGGGACCCCTCCGATCGCTGAGCGTGGTGCGATAGCGGTTGCTTGCGCGCCTGGACTTGACCTTTTTGCGCCCCTCTTGTTCCGCGCACCAGAGGTCACTCTTGCCTAGGTGCCTAAGGCCACTCTTGCGCGTAGCCGCAGGAGGGCCTGTCGGCGGTGATGGGAGCTGTGAAGCACTTCATGATGCAGCCGCCAGAGGTCGAGCGGGGGCTCGACGTCCTCGGCAAGGGACTCCTGGAGGCCATCAGCGAGCCGATTCGGGAGCAGTACGGCAACGCGACCGCTTATGCGGCCTTCGAGCACGAGTGGATGAGCTTCTTCGACAGCGCTGCTAGCACCGCTCCAACCGTCCAGGGCAACATCACGCTCTTCCAGGAGGAGGGCCGTCCTGACGCAGTGATCATGGCCATCTCTGACGTCCTCTTGCTGTTGAGTGACGGCGTCGTGAGGTTCGTCCCGCACGAGACCGCGCAGGAGGTGGCGACGTACGTGGACGCAGTGGGCGACCTTCTGGGCGCCGTGGGCGCCAGCTGGGAGGGCTTCGGGAGCGGACAGGAGGCGCAGGCCATCGAGGATCTCTACTTCGCGCTCAGGGGGGTTCTGGACCAGGTGCTGCCCGAGGATCTGCGCAACGACGAGACGTACAAGCTCGTCATCGGGACCCTCGACGGGGTGATCTACAGCCTGAGCGAGACGGTGCTGGACTTCCAGAGGCAGATCGTTGAGGGCACCGTGTGCTGGAAGGTCCAGGAGGCCAGGACGAAGAGGCGCCCGAGCGTCTGCCCCGAGGGCTTCTATTGGAACGGCGAGCAGCTCTGCCTGCCCAAGCCCGCGCAGGAGCCCGAGGAGCTGCTGCAGGAGGCGCACCGCGCCGGCACCGCAGGCGGCCTCGACCGTGCGGTCGCCGGCAAGGTGGACAGCTCCGCGGGTGCCAAGCAGCCCATCCCCGACGGGGCCATGGTTGCCCTCTGCGAGGAAGCCGGCAACTACACGGAGAAGGTCGGCCAATGGTGCTACGCCGCCTGCCCGGCCGGCATGGCGTCGAACGGGCTGCAGTGCAAGACGCAGTGCCAGGGCGACTTCCCAGCCGACGACGGTGCGATGATGTGCGGGCACAATCCTGGCGTGCTCGCAGAGGCTGTCATGAACATGGTCATCGGCATCAGTACTGGCGCCATCAATTCTGGCCTGCTCATCGCCTCGATGGCGAAGGACGGCGTTGATACTGATTCGCTCGTCAACACTATCCAAGCCTTCGTGGGCATGGGCAAGCCCTTCGCGTACCAGACTTGTCCGCCGCCAGGCCGCTGATCTCGTCTCCGTTGTGCGTTTCGTGTTGCCACGATTTTCAAGCGGCCACGCCGTGCCGCCGACCCCCACGAGGAGGAGATATGCGGCTTCCGGTGTCGTGTATGTGTGTATGTGTGTGTGTGTGTGTTCTGTTATCTCCCGTGGTGTTGCCTGCGTGTAGTTGTTGCTGATTCGTAGTTTTCCTCCTCCTCCTCCTCCTCCTCCTCCTCCTCCTCCTCCTCCTCCTCCTCTCAGTATCGCGGCCGTAGCCATTTTGGCTCAAGATGCTTTGTTCCACAGGGGAACACGTGGATACCGCTAGTCCGCGGCCAGTCTTCAGTCATTCCCCTGGTCAGCCCCAGGGTGAGCGTCGAGGTGGTCTGCCCCGCCTTGGCGCCTCTTTCTCATCTCAGGCATGGTGCCGCAGCCGCCAGCGGTCACCGTGCTTCGCGGCCCGCGCAAGCCCCACTGGTGTTGCGGGCAATGTGGGCGTGCGGAGAACTGGGCGTGTCGCATCCAGTGCCTCTGTGGGCGCGATGCGCCTGCCGCCATCGTTTCCCGTGCGCGGCAGCAGCACAAGGAGGCCGAGGCTGGCGGCGGCGGCGGCAAGAAGTCGGGCACCAAGCAGCACGGAGGCTCGGTGCATGGCATCCCCAAGCAGCTCGCGGAGTGGTTGCAAGCCATCGAGAAGCGCTTGGCGCCGCCTGCCAAAGAGTGGCCCAAGCCTGCGGGGACAGCACCGTGGCGTGAGGCTGTAGACGGCGCTGACCAGGATAAGAAGTCGCAAAGTGCCAAGCTCTCGGAGCGGATCACGGAGCTTGAGGAGTGCTTCAGGAAGTTCCCACCCGCTGACGAGCGCAACAAGGATCTGCGAGGTCCAATCGAGAAGCAGTTGGAGACCCTGCGCGCGGAGAAGCGTGCGCTGTTGTCTCCCCAGGCCCTCCATAGACGCACGCAGCAGGATCTGCAGCGGGCGAGGAATGGCTAGGAAAAGTTGGAGAAGGAGTTGGGTGAAAAGGAGCGGCAGTTGGATGAGCTGGCCAAGGGCATTGCGATGCGCAAGGAGACGATCGCAGCCAAGAAGATGGAGGTGGCGGCGCTGGACGCCGCTTTCAACGAGTCGGCCAAGAACCTCACCACGGTCGCGGCCGAGATCGACCTCGGTGAGGAGGGCGTCGCCGACCAGCCCGACCTTGTCGCCTTCCTCAACTCCGAGACATGGGCCAAGCTCAAGTCGGCGGTCGCCAGCAAGGCTGCCGCCCGCGCTGCTAGCGCTGGGGCTGGTCCTCCTGCTGCTGACGCCGCTGATGAAGCTATGCCTGCCCCCGCGGACGTGCAGAAGCGGGCCCTCTTCCATGCGCGGAGTGAAGGGGACATCGACGGCTTCATCTCCGCCTTCGACACCATGTGGTCTGAGCTGGCGGCCAAGCGTGCGCGGCACGGGTAGCCCAGCGGCTGCCTGGCCCGTCGTCTGCGGACTGCCTGGGCGCGGGAGGGCAACGGCGAGCGGGGCCAGGCCGGTCGAGGGCGCTGAGTTCAGCATTGAGTCCTGCAACGCCAGTGGCGGCAAGGCGCCCGTCAAGAAGCGCCTTGCCAACACGTCTGCAAGTGTGGTTTTGCTGCAGGAGTTCGGGCACATCAGTGAGCACCTGGAGGCATTGGCTTCGTGGTGTGGTGTGCGAGGTTGGAAGCTCATGGCGTTGCCGAGCCTGCCGACCAGTCGTTCTGTGCCATCGGCGGGAGTCGCTGTTGCTGCGCGCGATCGCCTCGGGCTGCGCCCTCCGAACCGAGTGCAGCACGTTCTTCTTGATATATCCGAGATGCCTGTCGGCCTGCATATCTTCAACGTGTACCTGTACACGGGCGAGGGCGCTGCTGGGCGCAACGGCAGACTGTTGCAAAAGTTGGGCCTTGCTGCTGAGGCATTGGACGGCCCCGTCGTCATCGGCGGAGACTGGAACATGTGCCCTGGCGAGTTGGAAGCGAGCCAATTTCCTGCTCATGTTGGGTGTTCGATTGTGAATACGTCTGCTATTACGTTTCGAGGAGGTACAGGTCAGTCCATCATTTATTATTTCCTCCTCAACTCAGCGGCCATGAAGATGCATGCGAGCGCGGGCATTGATGTCGAGTGGGCCAAGAGAGGCTATCGCCCCGTTTACGCTGTCCGCAAAGGCGATGCTGAGCATGTCAAGCGATTGGTCTACACGGTGGCGCCGAAGATGGACACTCAGATGATCATCGGGCCGCAGGCGCAGCCGCCCGAGTACACCAGCGCTCGCTCTGTTGCTGAAACTGCCATCCAGGCCTGTGCTGATCCGCGGTCTCCTCCTGGAGTCGGATAGGGCCTCCTTTCGGCGGCGTGGGGCCATTTCGCAATCACAGCAGCCGAGAATATTGCTGATGCTGTCGGCCACCAGGATCGCCTTGCTCTTAATGGCTTTGCGCGTTCCTTGCAGCCTCGGTGGATCGACATCACCTACGCGATGAATGACATGTCCGACCTGCAAGCCGTGGCAGAAGGATGGCAGTGGTTGCAGTCTTCCATCCTCAGCACCACGCAGTTTAAGACGATGGCCCACCCGTCCGCGAGGGACTTGGCGATGGCTGCAGAGGAGATCCTCACTTTCACCACGGCCAACTACCACGGGCAGGGTTTCGCAGCGCGCCTCGATCGAGCTGTTCAGCAGGCGCGTGGGTTGGTGCAGGCTGTCTTCGACGAGGAGGCGTGCCGCGAGTTCCTCGGTGACATCGGCGCTGACGTCAAGCTCGCACTCACTGGAGCCACTCAGGAGGATAACCAGAAGTGAAGGGAGTGGTGTGCCATGGCTGTTTCCGCTGGCTCGCGCGTCCTCCACCGTGCCACAAAGTACCGTGACGTTGCTCAGCCTACGGTCGTCACTACGGCCCATGGTGTGTCAGCTCAGGTTCATGATGTTGTTGGTCACGAGGTGGAGCTGTACAAGAGGCTATGGTCCAACTCCCGACCTGCGCCAGCCTGGATTCCTGACCGAACGGCGCTGCCGAAGGCGACTCCTGATGAAATACGCGCAGTTGCGCGATCGTTCTCGGTCAACACCACATCGGCGCCTGATCGTGTTAATCCGCGTCATTTCCTGCTCTTGGACAACCAGGCGCTCGAAGTGGTCGCTCTGGTGTTCACGGCGATGGAGTCCATCGGCTTGCCGCCGAGGCAGCTGTGCTGGCTGATCACTCCTATGCAACCCAAAACGTCTGGTTCTGGCAGTCGGTTGGCGGTGCTCTATGCTGGTCTCTACAGGATATGGCAGCGGCTACGTCGGCCAATGCTTCGGGAGCTGCAGGAGCATATTGACAGGCCATATTGGGGTGCTGCGCGCGGGCGGTCCACTGTGGACTGCGCGTGGCTCCAGGCGGCCGAGGGAGAGGCCGACAGCAGGCAGGCCTACCACGGAGCGCTTGCCGTGGCCGGCTTCAGCAAGTACTACGAGCGCATCCCCCTGGCCAAGCTGCGCGACAAGTACATCAGTTTCAACGTGCCCACGGCCTGTATGAAGCTGGTGTACAACATGTGACGTGCGCCGCGAGTGCTGAGACTCGCTGGTCATCATGCGGAGCAGGCCCTGTGCGCTGAGTGTGGCCTCCTTGCGGGGGACGTGTTTTGTGATGTTTCGATTAAGGTCTGGTCTGTTAGGGAGTGTGACAGCTTCCTCGGCAGGCAGCCTTTCATTCAGTTTGTGAGCTACACCGACGACAACTCCATTCGGGTTTCGTCTATCTCAGCGAGTACGACTACGTCGATGGTGGTCGACGCCATGCTGAGCTTCAGGGGCGCGGTGTCGGAGCTCGACACGATCATCAACGGCAAGCTCGTGATCGTCGGCACCAGCCTGTCCATTGCGCAGGACATCCTTTCCAGGCTTGGTCTGCCTGCCTCGGTCGCGAGGCGCAGTGCGGTGTATGTCGGTGTCGACGTCAGCGAGGGCAGCAGGGGAGTTGACCAGGGCGTGCATGCCAAGCGCGCCAAGCGCAAGGCGCACATGGTGCGGCGCAAGTGGAAGACCAGGCGCTTTGGCAAGGTCATCGCTGGCAACAAGGTGCAGTCCATCGGCCGTGTCATCCGTGCTGGCGCTCTGCCTGCGGCTACCTACGGCAGTGAGGTCGTCGGGCTCAACAACGCGGAGTGTCTCAGGTGTAGGCGTGATACTGCTCGAGGACAGCTGCCAGCGCATGGTGGAGTGAGCCTTTCGATCAAAACTGTCTTGCTCGGCGACGGCGCCGCTGCCTCTGCCGTTGCGCTTGCAATCCAGTGGTGTATAATGTTGTGGCAATCGGAGGTCTGCAACCACCCGCTTGCAGTGCGTGCTCGCCTTTTGCGGCTATGGCGTGAAGCGACTGGGCATCCAGTCGGGGCCCTCTGTCTCGAGCCGTGCTAGCTGTGCAGCGTGCGGGTTGGCGAGTCCTGTCGGCCATAAGCTGGATGGACCATCGGGGATCTGTCATAGATGTTAGCAGAACGCCTCCGAGTATGCCCACTACTCTCATGCTAGCTGGGATCCAGCGTCAGCACGAGATTTCCCTAGCCATGCAGCTGGGAGCTCCGACAGGATCCAGGGCCTCGCTCGATTTCGTTCGTTCGTTTGTCGGAGGTCGGTCTCGTCGTTTGTCCAGTCTGCAGAAGTTGCTCGTCGGGAGCTGCTCTTGCCGCGGAGTCTGGACCAAGGCCCGCGCCCAGGCTGCGGGCTACCTGTGCGACGGTCTCTGTGCGTGCGGCCAGAGGCAGACGATCAAGCACTGTCTCTACGAATGCATGCTACTTGCTGTTGTTGCCGCCCGTGCCGAGGATGAAGTCAGCCCGCTTTTCATCAGTGCTGGTCTCGACTCTGACGATCCAATTTTTGTGCAAGGAGTGTTCTTGTATGATGAGGAGGAGATTCCTCCCCCATCCTGCTCGGATAAAGTGGTCCTCGAGGGCCCTGGAGGGGAAGAGTTGGCGGTTGAGGTTGAGGGGGTGGCGTCTCTGGTCCAGGGCCCTCGATTGG